CTCAGCAGGGAAGTTAGAATTCCAGCCCATCTCCCTGACCTGGAGCCCGCATCCCCCTCCTCCCGCCAGCCTGCTGCCGGCCCATCCCACAGTGGCATAGGGTGGCTCCACCAGAGGCTCTGGCCCTCCACGCCTCCCAGGTAGGTGAAGGTGTGCTGGGAGCTCAGTGTCGGGAGGACTTGCTGTCTGAGCCCTGCTGAAGGGAGGCGGGCATTGGGCCTGGGGACTGAGAGGCTGCGGGGCTCTGTGTCACCCTGCTGGGCTCCCAGGCTTCTCAAAAGAGCTTCTGGCAGCCAGGCCTCTCTTCCCAGGCTCTCCTGGCACAGCCCTGGACTCAGCGTGGGGAAAGGGACAGGGAGAGAGCGATTTCTAGATCCTGGGGCAGGGGAGGCTCCGGAAGGCCCCCAGACCCGTCCTCAACTCCTCTCTGGAACACAGCCCCAGGACAGTGCCTAGGCCCTGGAGGGCTAGGGCCGCAGCAGGTGTGAGCTGGCACCTGGCAGCCATAACCCCAGCTACGGAGGCCCCAGCTTTCCCAAGGGCCCAGCAAGGTCAAGACTCTGGGACCCAGGCTGCCAAGACTGTCCCGCAGGGTCCCGTGTGCCTCAGGCCTGGCCCTGTTCCAATACCTGTGCTCCTGGGGCATCTGGAAAACAGGCCAGGAGTAGGGCAGCAGCAACCTACCCTCCCTCAGGCAGACTCTGGGGAGCTATGTGAGGTGTCCCCTGCTGTCTAGTAGGGGCTAACCTAGAGGGCAAAGCAGGCTTCTCTGGAGCCGCTGTCTCCTGCCATTAAACACAGCACAGCTTTGCGGGGTCCCTGCCCCTCCAGGTCCACACATCTTCCTGGGACCTGCTACCTTTGAAGCCCCACAGCTCCAGGCAGCCAAGGTGGGTGTTCATGAGCCAGCTGGTCTCTCTCCTGACTGCTCAGTAATGATCTGGGTCCCAGCTCAGCAGACACTTCCCCGCTTTGAGCTGGATTTGCTCATCTGTGAATGTGGGAATTGGGGGTGAGCTGGGTGTGTGGACTCTCTGCTTGGTGAGCAGAACGGGACTTCTCTCTAAGTGCCGGGGTCAGAATCGGTCAGCAGAGGATGCACGAGTGCTATGAGTATGTGAGGCACACACTGTGATGGGCATGAATCATGTGGGGCGTGCACAGCTGCTAACTGACCCCCCAGCTGAGTGAAGGTAGCCACTCATTAGGAGGCCACTAATGGGCCCAAATGGCCACATGTGCAGAGGCTAAGCCAAAGATGGAAGAGGCCAGACAGGGGCAGGAGGGGCGGAATGAGGCTTTCCAGGGAAAACTGCATGATTTGTCCCCATTAGCAGGTACTCCTGCCCTTGAGAAGAAAGCCTCCTAACATGAGGATCTGGGGACACAAAGCTAGCGAGGGGAATAGGGGGCTCATATGTCCTGTGCCCACAGACACGGGTGCATGGGCCTGGTGGCACCAGGGGCCAGGTGGTGGCTCTCAGGATGCCATGGGCATCGACTGCAGCTCTCCTCCTGGAAGCCGTTCTCACACCGAGGTGGGCACAGGAGAGCTGCGCTGACCCCTCACTCTGGGGTCCCCTCTGGACACCCCACCCTTCCTTCACCTCACCTGGCACTGGTCATTGCTTACAAATCATGGCTGCACCATTGGTGTTAGCAAATCAGCCTCCCAGGGCAGGAACCCACAGTGTGTGTGAGCCGTCTCCAAACTAAATCAGGCAAGGACTGTCTCCATCACACCATTCATAAACTAGATTCCAGAGGAAATAAAGAGCTGACTCTGAAAATGTTGAAGGAAATGTAATCTAAAATTAAATACTTTCATGTCAGAAGAATCTATTTAAAATAAGACAATAACCATAAAATCCATAAAGGAAAACAGTCACAAGTATATCTAAATATAAAACTTCTGTGCTGTAAAAAATCATGACATCAAAGGACAAGTAACTAACATAGAGCAAATTTGAACATCCAGAATTAAGAATTCCAATACATCAATAAGAAAAAAATGTTTTTTTAACCCAATAGAAAAATGGGCATGCCTGTAATCACAGCATGTAGGAGGCTGAGCCAGGAGGATCGCTGTGAGTTCGAGGCCAGCCTGGACTACATAGTGAGTTCAAGGCCACTGTGAACTACACAGTGAGATCGTACAAAAAACAAAAACAACAACAACCAAAAAAATGGGCAAGTATATGAACAGGCAATTTATAGAAACAGAAATACAAAGCATGCAATGAATTTAGGAAAATATTCTCACATGGCAAGAAATTAAATCATAATTAGAGAAATGTAAATTAAAACAGGATTTGTTCTTGCTCGATCCATTATACTAGCAAAAATTCAAAGTATCAACAGGCTCTGGCATGGGAGAGGGTGTGTATAAGTGGGGTTGGCTATCTGCTTCTGGAAGCTGTATCAGTCTGTTTAGCCCTCTTAGGGTATTTCAGCTGTTTGCATTAAAATTAACAATGCCCTTCTTCACCCTAGTAACTCCTTTCTACATAAGGATACACTAAGAATAGGGACTTCGGGTGTCAACTGCAGCATCCTCTCCTCCTGGCACACAGGGCTTGGACTTCTGCTTTGCTGCACGCTTGTGTCATGGGGGCACCGTGCCTGCGAGAGGTGGCAGAGCAGCCTGGGAACCACTGAGGAGCAAGCGGGAGGGTGCTGAGCCAGGAGCCAGCTATAAGCAGGGAGACCTGGCTCCGGAGAGGAAAATGACAGGCCACAGTCCTTGGAGTGGAGGTCTGAAAGGCGGTCAGTCAGCGTGGGGAAGGTGGCTGGGCAGGGCAGACGGCCGGTGTGCCAGAGTGACCCAAAGGAGGCGTCTGGGCACTTAGGGCCCACCAGATGGGAACCAAGGGCAGAGATGCTTCTTGGACCTGGATTTCCCTTCTTGGCTTCACTGCCTAGAAGAGAGCCGGAGAGGTTTCTGAAGACCGAGTCTCTGCAGCAGCCTCCAGTTCCCAGCAACTGCTCTCATGGAAGCTCCAGAGTCACTGAGGGTCAAGGGGAGGGCTCCCCAAGACCCCAGCTCCATGACTATTCAGGTTGGCTCCTGTGGCCTGCCCTACCCCAGGCCCACAGGATCCTAAGGCCCGGGGTTCGTATGCCAGAGGGAAGCTTCCCGGGCAGGGACGTGCTTGCACTCTTCTCATGGGGCGGGGGGCAGGGGCGGCTGGTCAGCAGCCAGGCTGGAGGGTGACTGACTCCCTTTTCTTGTCCCCTCCTTCCTCCTCAGCTCTGGCTCCTGCCTTTCACTTGGACAGTGGCAACTTGTGGCCACAAGAATAGTCTTTTAAAAACACATGTCTCGGGCTGGGGATTTAGCCCAGTGGTTCCACTGCCTGCCTTGCAAGCACAAGGACCCTAGTTCAATCCCTGGTACCAAAAAAATTAAAAAATAAAAAATAAAAACACATGTCTGAACAAGCTCCTCCCCATGAAAAACCCCTTGATGCCTCCTCGCCGCCCTGAGGTCAAGTCCAGGCTCCTTGTCCTGGCTCATGAGGTTCTGGCTTTCCTCCGCATGTCACCACTTACCATCACCCCTCATCTACACTCGGGCTGGACAGAACTCTCCTCTGGTCTCTTGGACAGAACGTGCAGCTTAACAAGAGACCCTGGGCATGCCAAGGTAAGGCCCATTTACATTTGAGAAGCACTGCTCTGGACTAGGATCTCTGACCTTTGCTGGAAATTAGAATAATCTGAGCTATTTATTAAAAAGGCAGATTCCTTGGACCCATCCTAGACACATCTGGTCAGATTTCCCTGGGAGGGGAGGGCTGTTACACATTTACCAAGCATCCCAGGTGGCTCTTTCCCCAGGGAAGGTTGGGAGAAGTTAGCAGCGAACCCCGAGCTTGGCTGCACGGCAGAATAGCCGGAGCCTGAGCGCCACCTCGCTGCCTGGGACCCGTCCCATGAAGTCTGGTCAGGTGCAGCCTGGGCCCCCGAACTGGAGTCCTCCCCAGGGGCTCCGCTCTGAGGTACAGGGAAGGCTGAGCTCACTGTGTTAAGGAGATAGGTTCCAACCACAAGCACAGGTCCTGGTAGCAGCAGAGGAACCTGAGACACACAGGGGATCTGGCAGTGGCCAGGACACAGGGCTCAGAGCCTTGGAATCACGGGGGAGAGGGCCTCAGGAGGTCAGAAGGGGCACAGTGGGGGGCAGAACCCACAGGGTGTGGAGCTGAGTAGGTGAAGGAGCCCCTGACGTCTGGAGCAGAGCAATGAGGTGCTGAACGGCTGGTTCCGCTGAGGGGCAGCCTGGGGAAGCTCTGGAGCTGGTGGACAGACGCAGTAGCTGCCCCTTCCTACTGTCCCCCTCCCTAGCCAGGTCTCTGAGCCTGAGACTACAAGCCTTGTTATGTGGCTGAAGCCCAGGGGCACTGCTGATCTCTAGCTTATACCAGATGGGGCACGAACGTGGGAGTGGGGGACACAGGGCCAACAGCAGCTCCTAGACCTTCCCAGGTACCTGCACTTGACAGATTACAAAGTGTTCCCACCTGCCATTGGGCCTCACGACTGCCCTAGGAGGGGTGGTCTCCTCGTCTGCGGCCTGGGACACTCTAGGAATGAACACAACCAAAGCCTCCAGCAGGTCGGCCTCTGGATCTTCAGGGAGTTTTCCTGCGAGGCCCTTGGCTGGGAATGCTGTCTGCACTCACGTCTGGGCGGTGCTAGCCGGCAAAATCGGTTGTGCCCCGGAACATCCATGCACTACATGGTTACACTAGCTCGTGTGCATAGCACACTCATCCTTTTAAAGACCCATACGTTCACACTCACTGGCGCACAAACCCCACCTGTCCCACAATGACGCACACCCAGCCCAGTGTGCACACTCAGACCTGCCCAGGGCCTAACACCCAGAGTTCTGAGCCCCTCCCTCCTTCGGGGGGGGCTTCCTGCACTCCCCCACTTCCCCCACTGGGCATGGGCTGGGACTGGGAAGCAGACGCCTGGCGCAGACAGCCCCTCACATTCCTCCACTTGGAGCGCCATGTCTCCAGCCCAGGCAGAGGCTGCCTATGTTGGGCAGCAGCCAGGCTTGAGCGGGGATCAGAACCTGAGACCTGGCCTCATTCAGACCCCTCAGGGAGCCAGCAGAGAAGCGAAGTGCAAGCAGCCGGTCCTTTCCAGCTCAGAGTTGCCTTTCCCCGGTCTCAGTGGGATCCCTGGGCTCCCCAGCCCTGAGCGGCCAAAAGGTCTCTTCAGCCCTGAAGTCCTAATCGGTCACAGAGAGATGGCCCCGGAAGCCACAGCCCTGAACTTTCAAGAGGCTGTTTCGGCAAATCCAGAGCAAGCCTGCAGCCTGCAGCCAAAGCCAGTGCAGAAGTCAGACCTCACGGGTTTGCATCCGGTTCCACCCCTTCTTGGTGTTTCGGCTTTCTGACAGGGAGTCTCCAGGAGCCCCTGGCGCCTACAAAGCAGAGCTTCATCTCTAAAGCAGAGACCCGAGGCCCGCCCGCCTGTGGTCTGACGGGAGATCGAACTGCACACCTGCACGGGGAAGTGTTGGGACCTGGTTCCCTGCTGTCTCTTCTGTCGTCATGGAAGTGGCAGTGGTCCCAGATGGGCAGAGGCATGCAGGGGGCCCTTCTGGGGCAGAGCCACAAGCCGGAGTGGGAGTGGACGTGGGTACTGTGTGTGAGCAGCCGTGAGATGCGGTCCTCCCAGCCGGGCCAGCACAGCCAAGAGGTGCAAGTGTGGCCTCAGCCAGGCCCAGGCTCCGGTCACAGTGCAGAGAAGCTGGCCCCTTTCCAGTGTCAGAGGCCTGGCACCCTGTCCTAAGAGCTCTAGATAGAAGCTAGAACCAGCCACCAGCAGCCCAACACTCTCCTCCCATCCCCCCGGGGGAAGGGACCTTGCACTGGGAGTCGAGATCTTGCTCCCTGGTGTACAGACCAGGACGGTTCCTGCTAAGTGATCTGGAGACGGGAGGCCAAGGCACCGTGTGAGCCGCAGGACTGGGTCTAGAATCTCCCACTTGTACTTCTTTACCTGGACACCCACCACAGTCTGGGAGGGGTAGGAAGTCTCCATGGGCCGGACTGAGGAGTCACTCCTCTTCCTCCAAGTTAAGGCCAAGCTTGGCCAGCAGCTGGAGAGGGACGTCACACCCCGCACAAGCTTCTGTTACAGGAGGCCAGCAGACATGGGATGCAGGGGAGGCGCCGAGGCCAGGATGCTGTGCCCCTGTGGTCGGACCTAGCTGAGGAGGCCAATTACCCACGAGCCCCTGCTCCCGAGGGCCCCATCGCGAGAAGGAGCTCTCATCACCTCCAGACTGGAGCGGATTCCCCTTTATCAGGCCCCCTGGCACCAGCCTGTCTGAGCCTCCCCCACCTCTGACGCCCATGACATTTGTTTTGGTAGCTGTGGTAGCTGTGGCCAGAGCATAATTGGGGCTGAAACACCCACTTGGACCCCCTGAAGAATAAACAAGCTAGGCTGAGGCAGCCCTGAAACAAATGTGAAGACAGACACGAAGACAGGGGCCAGGGAGGCCAGGCAGGAGGGGTGTGGCAGCCAGAGCTGGCAGGAGGGAGGAGCCAGTGACGAGCCGTCTTTAGGAAGTCGGGCTCAGATGACCACCAGGACCACCAGGAACAGCCTTGATTACCCAGCCTGGTCTGGGCTTCCCTGGGAAGTGTGCGGCCTGTGGGGGCGCCAGCGGGCTCTTCCAAGTCTCCTGTGCTGCGGCTGTCGGGCTGAGGGGACCTGGTGACAGTGCCGTTGTCTGGACTGCAGCTCTCCAGGTCTGGGGCTGGAGGAGTTGTACTTGGAGAAATTCTGCTGGTCACAGATGGGACAGACTGGACTGGGAGTTCGTCAGCACCCAGAGGCAATACCAGGAGCCAGGAAGACCTGCCAGTGTCCCAAGTACCACCAGGGAGCCTGGAAAGGGGCTTTCTGGAGGACATCTAGGCAAGGACAGCCAAGGGGGTCCACAGGTCAGATGTTTTCTTAGAACTCCTAGGGGAGCTGGCTGTGTTCCAGAGCCCCACCCTCTGGTTCACGGGATTTAAGGGACAGAGCCCCGTGTTTCTGGGGAAGCACGCAGCCAGACGCTTTGCGTGCTGCCCTTATGCCACTGCAGTGTTGGCCCAGCCTCAGTGAGTGGTGCAAGACTGCACCTTCAGGAGTGCGGAGGAGACCAGGGCTTGGACAGTGTCCAGCCACAGCCTTCTAGCAAGCCCAGGGCTGAGGCCACTGGCCTCCTGAATCCTGGGGCCCATTTGCATCTCTGGGCAGCTCTCCACTCTTTCAGTGGCAGGAGGGGAGGACAAGCAGTGAGTTTGCAGGGCATGCGGCCCTGCAGCGGGCTGGGCCTCAGACTTACGGACTTGCCTGTTTGCAGTGGGCAGAGGGGCTCCAATGCTGAGCGTGGGCGGTGGACCCCACTGACCCCTTCCACGGTGGCTCCCATCTTACTGCCTCTGGGGACTCCTGGAGAGGGAAACCCTGGCAGGCTGCTGCCCTTTGGGAAAGTGGGGCCAGGCCAGCAACAGGTGGGGTGCAGCCCCCTCCTGGGTCCCTCTGCCGACATCACCGTCTGGGACCCCACTTCTGAGATGAACCCAAGGGAGGATGACACCGTGTGGTTGGATGCTGAGATGGTTTTGTCTTCGGTACCACAGAGACTAAGCACCTTCACCTCAGCAAGGTCCCAATCCACCAACTCCCTGTCCTCTTTCCTTGGGCAACCCTACCTCTCCAGAGGGCTCTCCACAGCCAGAGCTGCCGTCCTGGGCTGCAGGACTGCCACCTGGTGGACACTGACTTAGCTACTGCCCCCACCGTCTGTGGCCCTGACCCTCCCTCCAAGGTGTGGCAGGAGAGAGCAGCCTAGACCCCAGGGTAGGTGGGGATGCTAGGGGAGCCCAGACCCACCCAGCAGCCAGCCCACACTGCTACTCACTCTGTCTGGAACAGGAGAGGTCCCCAGGGTGTACCTGTGCTCCTGGAGCTGAGGGTTCCCTAGGTCTCCTGGGTGGAAGGCAGACTACTTTGAAGTGGACCTCTCTGCTCACCACCCCCTAGGCTCCTCCCCCATGGCCCATGCCTTGGCCGGACCAGTAAACATCCATAGAGGGATAGACCCAGAGGGCTGAAGGTGCACCTCTGAGAAGGGAGGAGGGGAGCCCTCATTACAGGGATTCTCCAGGCAGCCTGGCAATAGTGAATAATTTATGTACAAGGCGGAGAAGACAATAAATCAGCAGCAATGATTAACATGAGCTATTTTACGTGTGAGAAAGATCTATGGCAAGAGGCTGCCAGGTTGCTGGTGATTAATTTTGCTGTTTGCACTGGCTTCTGGGCCTTTATATTCAATTATGGGCCCAGAGTATGTGGGGGGTCTGGAGGGTGGCATGGGGAGACCAGGAGCACAGGGCAGGAGTGCCGACTGCCTAGGACCAAGTGTAACAGGTGGCACCTAGCCCTAGGGGCCCTCTTGTGATGAGAACTTCAGTGGGTGGTCTGCAGTAGGGTCTCCTTTGCAGTGGGAGCCCCTCCTGAACACTGCTCAACTGGGTGCACACAGAGGGAAGGAGGCACCCTTGGGAGATCACTCTGCTACAGTCGAGGCTAGGTTTCTGAGCCCCTTCTTGCCCGCCCTGGGCCACAAGTGCTGCCCTGCCAGGACTGGAGTGACATCAGGAAACAGCCTGGGGGAGGGAGCACTGGAAAAAGCCGCCCAGCCTGGGAGCCCAGCCCTGTGTCCACACCCCAGGAAGGCTGGGAAGAGAGCTCTGGGTGCTGTCCTCCCGGCTGACCCAGGAGCCTCCTCCCGGCATTCCCACACGGGGGTCTCTGGTCTCCAGCCAGCTCCAGCTGGGCCCCATCAGTGCTGGTTCCACAGACCAGTGGCGGCTTTGGGGTTAAGTGACTCCCCCGGCCACTCCCGGCCTGGCTCACTCACTCCTTCCTCCTCTTCCTCTTCCTCCTCCTTAGTGACATCTGGGCAGCGTGGCCCTGCCTGGCCTCAGAACCGTGTGGGTGTGTGGGTTCTTCTGGGAGCTGGACTCACGGCTGGACTCGGGGGGCTGAGGGAGGACACCCCTCCTTCTCCAGCATGCTCTGACTGACCCTGCCAACAGATCAGTTCTTCAGAATCAGTCATGGCCCCGGCCGGAGCCAGAAGGGGCACGGAGGAGGCTGCAGCGGCAGACCAGAGTCCTGGATGGAGGGAAATGCTCTGCTCACCTGCCAGGAACCCCCGCCCTGAGCACCCCGGGCTTCCTCGGCAGCACCACTGAGTTCTGATCGGGGGCCTGTGTGCATGAGTGCGTATGTGTGTCCCTGAAAAGCATCATCTGCCTCTGTGACCCCCGGTGCGGGCGTGGCACACCCATGAGGCACCCAGCTCCCCCCAGCCTCCCTCAGCTGTAATCCCCTGTTTACCCAGCTCATCCTCGGACTCCATTAATGAAGCCATGTTAACTCTGCGGCTGACCCCGACAGGGACACCTGTAATTAGGCCAGGAGCGGCTGCAGCAGAGAAGCCCCCGGGCTCTGTAAGGTGCAGACGAGCTGGGTTGTGACAGCGGTCTAATGCCCAGGAATGCTCTCAAAGTGGTGCCTGGCTCCAGGGTGGCCGCCAGGCTCACCCCTAATGCCTCCCAAAGCTCCCAGATAGGCTGCAGGGGATTACTGGAGGGGTGTTGCAGGTGGCAAGGCTGCCCCAGGCCCACCCTGCCGGCTCCGCACCGGGGGCTCAGGCAGTGCAAAGCTGCCCTCCTGGGGCTAGAGGGCCCAGCCAGCCTGCCACAAGCCCCGCAGCACCCAGAACCCACGCCCACTGTGGCAGCTGCGGGGGTAAGAGGAAGGCTGGCCAGCTGGCCGGTGACCCGCCGGTCACTGCAGGCGGCCGCTCCCCTTCTTCAGCTTGTTTTGTTTGCTTTCACAGTGTGTCCCAGTAGCTCCGTCAGCATTAACCCCTGACCCCACTGCAGCTCAACTGTGTTTACCCTGTGGCCTTCTCAGGGGAGCGGACA